CGTTTTCTGCATTGCATAGCTGCAAAAAACGCATAAAAACGCATATTGACGAGAGGTTGTCTGTGTATATGTGCGTGTCTGTGTGTCCGTTTGTGCGTCTGTCACGCTTTTTCATCTCAAGACCTACAAAAGCTACGGGGCTGAAACTTTGGAGACTTAGTCTACATGCATGTACGGGCCCCAATCTTCAAAATTGGCGCCATACCCCGCGTGGCACCCTCGTACGCCCCCCCCCCCAAATTTTTCCCGCGCAGATTCATAGCTCGGGGTTCTGAGATGCTAGGAAGCTGAAATCTTTGGGCGGTATTCCCTGTCCAACTGAGTATTAGTGGGCTCATGCCCATCCCCCGGGTAAGCCTGATACCCGTGTACGAGCCCGCCAATATTTTTTCGGGTAAGTTCATAACTCGTTGATCTGAGAAGCTAGAAGGCTGAAATCTTGGGGTAATGTCCCCCGCCCAACCGGGTATTAGTGGGCTCAAACCCAGCTCCCGAGTAAGCGTGGTACCCTCGTACGAGCCCGCCAAAATTTTTTTCGGGTAAATTCATAACTCGGGGATCTGAGAAGCAAGAAGACTGAAGTCTTGGGGGGTCACGGAAGCTAGAAAGCTGAAATTTTAAGGGGATGTTTCCTGACAGATCTGGCGGCTAGTCTTGATTTGTTTAGCTAAAAGCATTTGCCGAAAAAACCGGTGCCGGTAGCAAAAAAAACTGCGGGGAACATGCAAAAAACGCAACTTCGCACGGGCAGCCCGTGCGTTGGCCAGTTATTGTTTATGACGAATTGGACCACTGCCGCTTGAAAAAGATGTACGAATGATGCTGATAAATGTGGTACTGGTTTGAGTGGATGGGATATGCATACCGGACGAAAGGGATGTCGGGAATAATTGCTGTAGTTCCTTAGATGTTCCTTTGTCAAGAACTGATTTTTGGGCATAAATGCAGTTCTAAAATTTAATACCTCATTTCACAGAAATTTAAAATTTAGCATTATGTTCCTCTTGAGTTGATAACATGAAATACAGTAGATCAATTGGTATGATGGGTTGGTTCAATTTCCAGAAGTTTCTGTGACACGACGTTTACGGATGTTCATTTACGATGTGGAATAGAATGTGGTGCAGTATCGTGTGGCATATTTGGTTTGACGAAGTGGCACTATGACGCCATAGGATATCCAGTGGAAGAAGCGATCAACATTGAAAGAATTGCTCCAGAAAAGTATTCTTTTTTTTTTTTAAATTAACATCTAAAATACTCACTTTTTTGTGCGCTCACGGTGTAGCTCTTCATTTTTTCTCAATTAAAGCTGAGAATCGTTCTCCTCATGACTATGAAAATTGAAAAATTTAAAATAGCATAAATTTAGCTCTTCTCCGTAAAAGTTTGTTCTAGATTTAAGGTTCCATTCGTTTTAGCATATCAAATAAAACGCATATTGTCAAGAGAGCGTGCATGTGTAGAGGAGTGAAGTGAACTTTGTCACCCAGTCTTCTGCTTTGCATGTGCTCTACGCATGGGCGCATCAAATGTCCAAACTGCAGCACTTCTGTCATCTTTCTTTCTCAACAGCCAAGAAAATAAGAATTTAGCTAGAACTCTAGCGTCTCTTGTACGTAAGTAAAAAATATAAGTTATTACAAATGCCTAAATCTCGAGTACGAGTAAGATGAGTTAGAGAGTGCAAAATTGCCAATAAACCCTTTTCACGGTAATTGTACATGCTAGAGGCTGAGATTTTGTGCTATCCCGCAAAAAAGTACTACCTTCCGAGTCGTTAAACGACGATCTTTCCTCACCACACGTATTATAGCGAAAACATGCCTACATGATTGCTTATGTTTAAATATGAAGCAACAGCCATTCACACTGTTAACGACCTGATTGCTTCAAGATTCAGGCAAAAGGGGCAGGACCGTATTAGCAGCTTTTGTGCGCACTGCAGCCTGGGTTAATCTGCTGCAAAAACAATTTAAAACCTTGTGTTTTCCGCGAATGGTCGTTATTTTAGTGGAATTTACATAGCAGAAGGAGCGAGACGACAAGTTCAACGTGATGTGGTCAGACTGGAAAAATGTGGTCAGCTCTGGCGTATTGTTAACGATCAGGAACAGCGAAGTGCCAGTCTACCGTCATCCATATTATTTCCAAATTTAAAACGATTCTCGCTGGTCACTGTTCCCCAAGCGGTCAACAGGCTTCTGCAGACAATATCATCGGCGAACGATACATTGCTTAAAAATAATGCTGCGATGGGAGGGCGCAGAAAGAAGTTTGTTTTTCACAGTAAGATTCTCTGTGGTATAAGAATTGTTTGAAACACAAGCAATTCTTTTGTCTCGAGCTGCTGCTTCTGAAGTTCGCAAAGTTATGTATTTGCAGGAGAGCGGAGAAATTAGCAATGGCAAATGATAGTAGGTCGATTTGTGATAAGAGTTATACGGGTAAAAGTGTGATGAACGATTGCACTTTGTGCTTCCGTAGTCAGCCAATGGAGAAAGCGGTAGGGATTTTAAAGCAGCTTCAGAAAAAAATGCAGCTAAAGAAATATAACTCATCCTTCAAAACATCGGAAAAATAAAGATGCCAGGGAGAACTGGATCGCTAACGTTACCGGACTTTTTTTTTTACTGAGCTGAAAGAGACACCAAAGACATTTGTATAAAAGGAACTGAGTGAGAAAGCGCAAAATTTGGTCTGAAGGAGAAAAAATTTCACCACTTCAAGCATAAATTTTAGGCAGGGGAGCAGTTGTTTCGCTAAGAATGTACTGAATTTTGTGTGAGAAGCGCAAAATTCGGCTAAAAAAGCTATTTACGTTTAAAAAGCATCAGTACAAATTAGGAGCAGCGAAACTGTATACCATCTGCATCGGAAGTGCCACTGTACTTAACAGCAAAAGTTCGACAGAAATTTGGGTCACTCAAGCGAGAATGTTTTAATCCGTGATCAGTCTTAATAAGTCATTTGTTTTAGTATCAAATGCAGTTTGACCAGTGGTTTGTGCCAGCTTTGGCCATTTGTATATTTTTCCTTGTCATCTATGGGATCTACCACGTGCTTGTCTTGCCAAGGTTGCTTTTTAAAACGTAATTCAGTACTGGTCCCGATACCTTTCAGAAAAGGTTTATTAAAAATAGGTTAGGCCACAACATATCGAGTCCTTCGTGTATTACACTTCTGTGCCACTAATGATGACTGCTTACTACTGCGTCTGAAAGAAACCAATAACTTGGCTGTGAGAGAAGGAAATTTGGTTTTTATGCGTTTTTTGCAGCTGTGCAATGCAGAAAACGCATATTGACGAGGGGTGTCTGTCTGTGTGCGCCTGTGTGTGCATCTGTCACGGCTACAGGGCTGAAACTTTGGGAACTTAATGTGCATGCACGTACGAGACCCATTTCCCAAAATGGACGCTTTTACCCGGTTGGTACCCACACACGGGTTCGTGGAAGTTTTTTGGGAGTAAGTGGCAAACTCGGGAACCAGAAATGCTAGAAAGCTGAAATTTTAAGGGTATATTCCCGTCCACGTATGTCTCAATGTTCTCAAAACCAGCTCTCGGGTATTACATACGGGGTCGAGAAAGTTTTTTTCGGGTAAGTTGTCAACTCGGGAGCCTGAGGAGCTAGAAGACTGGAATTTTGAAGGGATGTTTCCTGACAGTCCTGGCGGCCAGTCTGAAATTCTTT